CAGCCCCTCAGCATTTTACGGGCAGACGCCCAGCTTAATGAAACTTTGAACTCCAGGTTCTTAAGTGGAACTGGAAACACTTTCCCTTGGAGATAAAGATGAGTGTGCAGACTAGGTCACAACAGCTAACCCTAATGGAACGCATCTCCTGTCGAACCATCCCACAATTTGACAGCAAAATAACGATTGGTTAACAGTGTCACTTTGAGGTAGAATGACAGGATTCAAATCTACATTGTTGCTGTGTAATCCTGAGTGTACACTATTTAATGTAAATTTTACTTCCTTTCAACTGCAAAATAGGGACAGTACCTGTGTCATATAATTTTAAAGATTAATTGGGATGTTGTGGTGCACAACGTCCAACACAAGAAACCACCTGGTAAGTTATATAGTCATAGATATTAAACACAGACAAGCAAAAAATCAATTTCTAGGGAAAATGTCTTCCAGGTTCAGTTTGGCTAAATTACCTTTCTACAGTTCTCTCCACAGTTCTACAGACAACAGCTACCCCCTGCTACGCACAGAGAGACTCTCCCATCACAGACCACCTTTCCTGTCTATTGGACCAGAATGGGATCTTCACATCATTTTGTATCTTTCTCAAAACTCCTTTCAGAAAACATTACTTGACTGTCTACAGATAACTTTGATATCTAGTTCCTTCCTCACTAAAATATTCAGTGGTTTTCGGATGGTTTGTATTTGTTGCTATGATGCTTTCTAAATCCTGCATTTCCCCATCATTCCCTTTCCTCTTGTCCACAAAGTTTTAATTTCAGAGGCTGGTCCCATTTCACTCCTAGCCCCATTTCCATCACACATTGCCTATGATATGAGGAGCCACTTGCTGTCTTATAACTGATCTAAGTCCCTGCCCAGCACAGAGCATGAGAAACCATCAAGCTCTTCATTCTGAGAATAGATGACAGCTTTACGTTTAGGAAAAGGAAAACAAAACAAAACAAAACAAAAAACCACCTAGAGAAGACTATACTAATACCCATAGATTAAAGAGAGAGAGTCGCAGGCAGGGACCTGGACACACACCTGGTCTACTTACACTGAAGGAAAAACCCCTTCTGGATAATAAGACACACATCTATGAGCATCATCTAATATCCCAGACCATGAGCCTGAAGTGCAGGTGCAAAGGCAGAGGCCTGAGCCTGAGGAGCTTGTTCTCCAGGAAGAAAGAGGCAAATGACAATCCGAGGCCAAGATTCACCTCTAAGAGCAAACAATGGGCTCCAACTTCCGCACAGAATAAGGACACTGCAGAGAGGTTGGGAGAAAAATGTATGCTGCCAACAACACCTGGAGTCTCTTGGAGGGAAATACCTAAGTGAGCTACTCTGGAAGCCTCAGCCCCATTAAGCATTTCAACTGGGGAACTGGAAAGAGTATGACAAATGGAATGCCAAATAAACATTAACTTGCAAGTGCATCAATGAAGAGAAAAAGGAGAATGACTGGACTCAAAAGACATCAGGTGGACAGACTTATCAAAAGAAATGAGGTTCTGAAAACTATCGCAGGGCAAGTGTGAAGGCAGAGGTAAGGTATGTGGGAGTGCGCATGTGCAGGTGCCTATGGGTGCATGTGTGCCCTCACAGCACATCCCTCCAACCGGGCATCTGCTCTGTGGCAAGAACCAAGAAAGGTAAGGTGGCATCAAACCAGGAGAGGTGTCACTATGAACTGAAAGGGCGCAGCAGGAAACTGACATGAACGGCAAGTGTCCACAGCCCACTGACAATATCTGAACCCAATTCTAGTTGAGTGGACAAAAGGAACTTGAGTTTGTGTACTTAAATTAAGAAGAAGGATGGAAGTCAGTCAAAATTAAAAGCCAGTTTGTGGATTCCAAACGGTGGTAGGCATTCCACAAGTGGTACACAAAATAATTCCAAGGTGGGATATGGATGACCACTTTCCATCTTAATGGTTACATATTTATTTTAACATATATTAGAGAATAATATAGTGAGATCATCGAAGTCATGTTTTTAGAGATCTTATGTATCAGGATGAAGCCAGGGAAAGAAGTGAGTTGCTTTAAGGTTAACTTAAAGAAGTATATTAAATAAGTCACAGTGAGCCACACGAGCTATGTGGCTGTAGCACAAATGGTGAATGAGGGGTTAGGTACATGACTGGCATTTAAGCACTGAGCAAAGTGTGTCAGGAGGCCTCAAACTGAAATCACTGTTATATGGAAATACATACCTTTTTTCACAAATTATTATATTTGTAGAATCGTTACCTGTACTTTAATGCCAAAGAGTAAATTCAGCAAAGTGCTGGGAAAAAGTTTTCTGTCTTTGTCCATAGACCAGACAAAGGGAAAGGTGAATTGTGTGAAAACTTCACAGTGCATTATCATCTGCTCACCCAACAGTGATGGGTGGCTGGATTACAACCTGGGAGGGGGCAGGTCCCAGCACAACCTTCTAGTTCCTAGCTCAGTCTTCCTCAGTCAACTCTCCCACTGGCCCCCCACAGGGTGCCCTTCATGCCGGTTTGGATAGTATACCAGCTTCCCAGAAAAAAAGGGGTCTCTAAAACAAACCAATATATACACACAGACACATACATAAATTGCAATTAAAGAACACACAGACTTGCAGTTATAATGTTTATTCTCTGAGAAAGGAGGGAAAGTTAGACTCCCTACAAATATCTGAGCCTACCTGTATGCGCCGGTCGTGTTTCCAGGGAGCATTTCCTAACATTAAGAGAAAGGCCCTATTGTTCACTCTCTTCCCCTTTTGCATCCCCTGTCTACCATCTGCAGACATGGACAGAGCAGCTTGCTGTGCAGCTGAGACAGTCCTGCTTTCACACATCCTTAACTTTCATCCTTTGCCTTGTGTGATAAAATTAATCTTGGACAAAGATCTAGTTGATTTTCTCCTCCTCTCCATCATCATTCTTATGAGCTCCCAGACAATGCTTTAAAGCCTGTTCCAACGCTGCTGCTGCTTCAGTCTAACTACACACCCAGCACTATTTTAAGCTTAGGGGAATTTACCAATACTGTCTAGCCTCTCCTAATCTACACCGTACACTGATTAGTACAAAACATTAGGTGACCGTGGCTGTCCTGGAAACCTGAGAAGCACATTACCCCATAGCCTGATGCCTCATTCATTCAGCAGGTGTGAGTGAGGCCAGTTCTGTTCCAAGTGTTCCCTGGTACACTCGCAGGGGCCCAGGCCACGTGCAGACCACACTGAGAGTGACCCCAGCCAGATATATTTAAAAGGAACACAGGCCACTGTGAGAAGGAAAGCCAATCCCAGGACAGGGTCAAAGTCCTGAAACCTTGTATATCTGTTGACCTAGAAATTCTTCTAAGAATTTATCTAAAGAAATGTTCATGAAATAAGAGCAGATTTAGTTACAAGGATGTTAATAGTAGCTTTACTTATAAAAGCAAAATATTTGAAACAACCCGAATGATACTAAATATAGCAAGGTACAGCCACATGATGAGATTCAATGACATCTTTAAGTGCAGTAAGGGTTTTGGGATGGGGAAGGTTTGCTTTTAGGAGTTATGGTAAGGAAGGCCATTACTTTAGAAATACAAGGGGATTAAATAACCACCTTTTTTTGTGACAAGAAGAAAGATACCAATCCAGATATGAAGCCTCTCCTCTTCAAGGGACTGTTCTGCCTCTGTCCCTCTATTGTACCTCACAGAAATGAGTAATAATAATGATGATGATGGCAATACCAGTGCCATCACCACCCAGCATTTACTGAGCACTGACTCTGCATCTGGCAACGTTTGAAGGGTCTTAATCCTCAGAACGACCCCGTGAAATAGAAAGCATCAACCCTATTTTGCAGAAGAGGAGAATGGGGCCCTGAGATATCAGGTAACTTCCCAAGCCACACATCGCTGACGAGCAGCAGAGGGAGAATCACACCCAGACGACCCGGGCCAGAGTGTGTTTAACCACTGTGTTCCGCTGCCTCTCTCAGTGTAGGTCTCTCTAAGGAAGCAGCTGTGATGCTGACTTACATTTGTAGTCACTTGTCTACTTTCCTTACCCAGTTTTGAACTCCTTAAAGCCAAGGTCCCATGTTGATATTCCCAGTGCCTGGGAGCTGTCATGTAAATGTCAGCTGCATGAAAGAACCAGACTTGGTTATCTGTGTGTGATTAAACAGTAACCAATAATGGTAGTGGCAGCTCTCAGTAATTGGCCCTTGCCATGTCCCAGGCCTTATGCCAGATGCTGAAATGCATAATTTCATTTAATTCGCATAACTTCCTATGAGTGGGTCCTCTTATCTCGATTTTACAGATGAGCAAACGGAGGCGCTCTCAGAGCAAAGGCTGAAACAATACTGTATATTTTAGGGGTCAGTACCTGATCATTGCAAAGAACTCAGAAATCCTGAGATGAAAAACAGATGTGATATAATTGTGGTGATAACACGCTGGTATTTGGAACAAGTGGGGTATTGTTCCCTAATTAATTCACTAATGAATTTCAAATATTTTTAGGTGTCGACTCCATGCCAGGCACCATGAGAGGTGGAGTAAAACATCAAGCTGAACAAGGTGCCACCCTCACAGAGTCACATTCTAGTAGGGCATGTGACTCACACTAATGGGTATTTCATTACAACTGAGAAAAGGAAAGCACACTGGCTCTACGGGAATTGCTAACAAAAGGGGAGCTGAAGAAGCAGTGCCTGAGCTCAGCTCTTATTGTGTCGGAGCAGGAGGAAAAGAGACTCAGCTGTTTGTTCACAGGAGATCTGGAAAGAGAATCCTCAGTGGCAGCCCTTCCCTTTCATTCTCCCGTCCTATCAAGGTTACTCAGAAAAGGCACCTGGGAGGGCACAATGATACAGTCTTCAAGGACACAAAAAGCCAGCAGAACACAGAGAAGAGCTGGAAGTGTCCACCCTGAGCCGCGGCAGGTAGCATGGGATGTCCCTGAATGCCACGCTGGCCCCACGCAGCAGAGACTCACGTTTCTCTGTTGACTGAACGGTGTGGAAGAGCGTCAGGGGCCTCTCGCTGCAGGACGGAGGCTTGGAGTCACTGCTCTTCTTCCGAGACAGGTGCAGCTGGGCATTGGTGAGAGGCATATCGGGCACGGTGTTAAATATCTGCAAACAAAGTTTCACAACAAGGTTACTCACATCTGTGAACTGGGAAGAAAACAGGCCTGAAGCAGTACAACGGAAAGCTTGGCAGTGTCTTGGAATCAGCAAGAAAAGATCTGAGAAGACCACTGGCAGTTGCTCAAGACTTCATTTTAAACATTTCTAGGAAATGGCATTAAACATTTTCGTTTGGAAGCTTATCCCAGAGTTTGATAACCACCCACTTCCATTTCTAACCTCTTCTGCCACAATTTCCACTGAGCGGCTTTTCATTGTTCTCTCCAGGGAAACAGAAAGCAGCTGTGCTCAGTAGAAGCCACTGTCTGTTAACAGCACTTGAAGTTTTTGACTACCTTTGTCCAGAACCAATGAATCAAAAATTCCTTTATCTTTCTTCATTGGTTCTAAGTTCTTAACAATTACTTCGTAACTTTCTTAAACTGTGAAACATGGATTTAAATAACATTTCATGAAGGGCCCCAGGGCAGGGCACCATTTCCCAATCCTCATCAGTTGTGCTCAGCTGCAGCATCCTTTTCTAGTTCAGCAGTTCCACGTTATCTGTGATGCTGAGCTTTTCCTCGTTTATCTTGATAAAAGTATCACACGCATACACACACACACACACACACACACGTACTATGGACAATTTGAAAAATGCAGAAGAGTCTCCAGAAGAAAACAAGAAATTATCCCGATTCTACCACTTAGAGATAACCACTGTAAGCATTTAGGTCTTATTTAGTTATAAGCTTTTTTTTGGAAGAGGGAATTTTATTCTTCTAAAAGTTTATGCTAAAAAATGATAGACAGAAATCATGATCACTCTCATCTTTATTTCTACAGATAAAAGTATGGCAGACTTCAATAATTATAATAGCTAATACTTACATGGTGCTTACCATGATTATAGTAGCCGCCACTTATTGCAGACTCCCTTAGGTACCAGTCATCATACTGTGTTCTTTTCATGTAGCCCACTCAGTTCTCAGCAATCCTGAGCAACAGGTAATGTCCTCAGCATTTTATAATGAAGAACTAAGTCTCAGGGAGGTTCAGTAGCCACAATTGTAGATACAATTTCAGAAAATAACAGTTTTTTCCCCCAGATTCCTTTTTAAATGCATACAATAATACTGATGCTCATTCATTCAATCAACACACACCTTTTAAGTATCTCCTTTACAGTAGGCACTCTGGGTATAACAGTGAAGGAGGCAAACATGTTCTGTGGTTAGAGAGTCTGCCTTCCTGTAGCTATGGTTTACTGAGTCCTTGTCACACCAGGCACTAAGTTAAATGCTTTATATGAATTATCCCAGTTGATGTTAACACACACTTTTCATCGTTGAAATTATATTCTTTATTCTGTTTGTATCACATACATTTCATCTAACATTATACAGTATTTCCTCATTAAAAAAATCTTCAGACATGATCCTTAATGGCTGCATAACACCCCCACTATATATTGAAAAATCAAAATTTATGGATCCATTCATTACCATCTCTTACTCTTTGAAGTTGGTCTCCTCCCTCCTGAGTTTTCTCCTTCCTAACAGTCTCTGATGTGTCTAGGGCCACTTTTCACCCATGAGTGGCCCTAGACACATCAGTCTTTCTCATGGTTCTCTCTCCTTTTCTGTGTGCATTTAAAAACACAACTCAAAAGCTGATATGTAGGAAACAAAATCATAAGAATTATAAGAATTTCAGCCCAAACAGCTGCTCTCCATGGGTTGGCGGGTCCTCGGGCTCCAATGATGCCAGCCAGCTGGTTAAATCAGTCTCACTCCTAAACACAGCTGTCTGAAAACAGCAGTATCATATTTTCCCTAGAGGACTGAACATTTTCAACAAGATAAACTGAATCACTACACGTAGCTGAGTTCAACTGGGGCAAGGGAATAAGAAGAGAAGGAAACAAAGTAAAAGCAAGAAAAAACTCCTAACTTCCCGACCAGCTGGAAACCCAAAAACAAGTTTACCAGTGCTACAAACATCTCCAGTCTCCTACTGAGCCTCAACAACAGAAAGAAAAGCTCAAGGACTGCAACCTCTAAGAAGCTTTCTCCTACTCTTTATTTGGTCATCCTCAGGTGACAACCTCACTGTGTACCATTATCATTGACATTTAAAAATGGCTACTAAGTATGAGTTTTGCACCTGCCAGGCACTGTGCTAGGCAGATGCATCCCATGATGCATCTCTAAGCTGGAGGCCAACAGCATAGCAAGTTGGATGGCTATCTCACAATGAGAGATTGCCTGCCCTGCCATACAACTAAGTAGGAGAGTGACCGGGAGTGAAGTCCCAGGGCTGTAGCAGCCATTCATTTGGCTAATCTCCAGGCAATCTTCACTACAAAAGCTGTTGTCCCAAACATACAAGGATGAGTTTCAACCTAACAGTGTCTTCTAGCACCTTTCTGCCTCTGGCCTCAGTTACAGCACCTTCAGCAATCCCTAGCTAAGAGCATTTGAAAATGAATTCCGAGTTAGTGATAGGCCTGGTTCTCATTATTTTCCCTCACATCCTGCTTTGCCTCTGGCCTCCCAATTTTGTCTCTTTTTTTCTAATGAGTTATTGAAAATGAGATCCTCACCCAATTACAATGGGAGCAAAAATAACATGGACTTCGATTTCAACTGTCAACAAAAATGCGAGCTTTTACTATTTCCTGAGAACTGTAGTAAATGCTGGAGAAACAAAGAAGAGTAACTTGTGAGGAAGGACCATGGCTTTAGACAGATGCGTGAAAAATTGCTTCCAATATAATATTTATATACAGCAGAGCAGGAAGAGACACGAGAACAAATGAGGGAGAATTCCACTCTGCTCATCAGCTGTTTCCTCTAAAATAATTAAGTTATTCAAGCATAAGAGAATCAGCTCTGCAAGGAGATTTTTGCCATGGGCAAGAGTCATAGTCCCGGGGCCAGTTCCCTGGGTCTCATTGTGAGCCAGGCCCAGACTCCTGACGACCACTGATAGGACTATTCTCAGGATCAAATGAGATAATGTGCAAGGAAGCACACAGCAAAATGTCCAGTGCCAGACATGTGATTATCATAATTACTATTACACGTTCTTCCAAGGTACAGGGTGCCTTTGCAAATTAGATCAAGTCAGAGCAGACGACACAAACTTTCATTAATGACTCTGGAAAATCATTCCCCAAGTGACTGTTGTTTATTTAACTCTGACACTTGAACACATGCAAATTGTTTAAAAAGCCTGTTGACTGTCTGGCCACGGGTTTGCCTCTATGCTGAAAGCTCGAGTTGGGATTCTAATGAGAATCTAAATTATTCACAACTTTGTTGGTTATTCCAATCCTATTTCATTTTGGAAGGGATGATTTCAAGAGAATCAAATGAAGTTTTCTTCAGTCTGCAGAGAAGAATCACTGTGCAAATGAGCCTGCTGAATGACGGAAGCAGGAGCTCATATAACCTATGAGCCGTGGATTTATGGAGCTGTACCATGTGGCTGGAACAATCTACTCATTTCATAGAGACTTTCCAAATTAACACAAAAGGGGGAGATTTATTTTCTGCCCCAAGTGCCCTGTTAATACTGTCCAAACTCACAAACTAATTCCGACTTAGTCAGGAATGTCTTAGAGATAAAAGTAAGGAAGACTGTAAGCCTTCTGGAAGCAATTGGGGAATAAAATTGTAAAGCAAAAATAGAACTCTGGGTAACTCTTCCAAGTATCCCCAATTTCAAGCTTCCTGTAAGTGGAATTAGCAGATCCATAAATACCAAGTTACTGTTTCGCCTTAAGCTGCGAGTAACAGTGGTCAGGGGTGGTTTGGCCTCCGCAGTCAGACAGACCTGGGCTGATCCTGGTTCTGCTTCTCATTCAGTAGGCGGCAGCACCTACAGCTACATGGACCTCACCATCACTGACGCTGACATCACTGCCTATCATCACATCAAATACAGGAAAGGATCTTAAGATCATCATACGGGTACAAATGAAACAGGCTTTGGAGCTAGATGGACTAGAGTTCAAATCCTGACTTTGCTACCTACTAGCTATATAATCTCAGTCAAGATAATTAACCCTTCTGTGTGTTTCCCTTGTGCAAGTGGGGATCTAATATCTGCCTTACAGAGCTACTGAAAAGATAATACACATAAAATGCTCAGTGCAGTATGTAGCAAAGAGTAGGCATGAGATGGTGACGGTATAAATGACAATAAAAACACAGAATTTGAGCACTTATCATGCTAAGTCATTTACATGGATTATTTTACTCATAATAACCCTGTAAGGGAGGTACTATTATTCTTGCCCTCTTGAGATGAGAAAACTGAGACTCCCTGAGATTCACTGATTTGTCCAAGGTCACACAGAGAAGGAGTCCAGCTGGACTGGGACCTAGATGGCTTGACTGTCTGGGTCTTAAGCACTTGTGGTCTTTATAGCTACCATTAATTTGAGAGACAGAAGACAAAATGGGAAGATGTAAGTTTTGGAGTCTGGCAAATCTGATTTTAGTCACTTACTAGCTCTGTGACCTTGGGCAAATTATAAAACTCTCTGACCTTCAGAGACCTTATCTGTAAAAAGTCCTAGGACTGTGGTGAGGACTGAAGCGCCTAATACAGTTTGACATTCAGTATTCAGAAGATATCACTGTAGTTAATAAAAAAGGAGACATACAAGAAGGGAAATAACTGGAGATTCAACAATGGATTATTTGCAGTCAGGACATGAGGATTTAATTTATAAGTGTAAATTTAATTACTGTTCTTTGCAAAACATTGATCTTAACTGCTTACAGCAATGGCAGAATTTCCTGTTCTTATTCCCTTGCACTGTCTACAAAATTTAAATTTCACTGATTCCCCTCTGGCCCATCTTGACATTGCAGAGCATTGACACTTGTGGAATTTGTTCTTATCCATGTCACATACACATTTTTAGACCTTCTTCAATCCCATCTGTCACATGCGCCTGCAATTTAAAAGGATTAGGAGTCTCCCTGTAA